GGCAGTTGGGCTGAAGCATTTTTCAGTTTTACATCTTTCCCAGAGTAATGGCTTTTCCTTTTCACATGTATTTTCTTACAGCCTTCCTCAGGTGATAAGTTAAAGAGACTTTTTCTTTGGAAGAGCTGAATGGTCCAGGTGATGGCCCTATTTAGGAGGTTCCACAACACTCACTAACCAGTACCCACCGAGAGCCACATACCCACTTGGCCTGGGCTAGGGGCCTAACAGCAAGTATGAAATGCATACACTATTTTACCTTCTCTCTGATACTCTTAATAGTAAGGCAAAGGAAGAGCACAGTTTAGGCCAATGTTGGGTTTAAAAACTGTTATGCAGAACCTCTGCAGAGCCTCACAGCTTCCTCAGATGAAATCCAGCGAAGGTTGGTGCTGACTCAGCCATACTAGGTGTGTGTCCCACTCCCTTTAAGGTGCAACAGTGTTGCTTCCAAGTCCAAGTCAGAAGACCAACAGAATGTGATTTTCACAACTTCAACAACTGGTTAGGTGTCTGCAAGAATGTGTCCTTCTCAGAAATAAACAGTAGAACATAAGGTTAATAAAGGCTTTAATTTCACACACACAAAAACTCTATGCATAATTTAAAAGGTAAACAAAAAACAAGAAAAAACCGTAAAGGGTACAGAGGAACAGTTCTGCTAAAACACAGATAAAGTGCCGCTCCATACAAAATAACAAAGAATCAGAATCAAAAGTCACTCTGAACATAAAGAAAATCACCTCACAGTGTGGCCAAAGCTGCCAGCAAACCTGGTAGTGGCTCAACTAGGGAAAGATGAAGAAGCTTACTTCTGTTCGCTCCGCAGCATAAATAAACAACACTGAGATAGGCCAGAGAAGTTGGAGATGGAAGGGAGAGAGAGTGGGGGTAAACCTAAAGACGAGAGGTGTGTACAGCCACTGTGTCTCACTCTTCCACCCCTCTGTTCTTGAGACAGACCAGTTCAGATGATCGCTCGTTTTGGCATTGGACCCAGTGAACTCCAGTCCTGACCCAAATCCTCACCTACTCTAGTCAGACAGCAGTGGACATCTCTCTACTTTAAACCTCTGTGCTTTTTAAGTCCAAATGACTGAAATCAACTGCTTATAACCATACTGACACATTTTTTAAGCTTCAAAACCTCAGATACATAGCACACAGGGAAAGGAACATTTACTATGTATATGTGATACAACAAAAGAGTCTGTCTGAAGTTTAGTAATCAAAGCATACCATAAAGGAGTCAGTGGTCGTGGTGAGACACAGCAAAAGAAACCTGTCACAAAATTCTCAAGGCCTAACAAACTATTGTCTTCCAATAAAATATATATATTTTTTCAGATGTTAATAAGACACTGATAGAGACAAAATTAGAATTCTGAAGTAACACATCAGAAAGATGTTAGAGGGAGGAAATCTGTTTAGTTTTTGTACACAACTTAAAGAGCATTATTTGGTGTAAAGCAAGATGGGGAGAAAGAAAAAGACGTTTTGGGGGGACACTTTTATGTGACTTGCATCTAGTACTGGGTTGCTGGTGACTTTTCTGACAATCTCCGTGTATACAAGATCCACTTGGAGATCCAGCTCTGCTTCCCTGGTTTGAAAGACCACTTCAGGGGAATCACTTAAACAGGGCAAAAAGTATTGACTAAGAGCATCCACTATAGTCACTCCAGAGGACACAGAAGAAAGAGGAAGAAGGGTAATTTTTACTTGGTATAATCTCTTTCCAGTAGATCACAAATGAGTTTACAAAGTACCTTTTCTTTCCCTGTCTCCAACCCCCATGCTCTCTGTACACTCCTCATGCTCAACTACATATGAGAAACTGACAAGAATCTCTTTAATTTAGGTGTTTCCAAATAGTTTTCGTTATACAACTATATATTCAGCTGTACATGTGTAGAGCTGTATTTATATAGATACATAATGGTAACTGCAGTATGGAAGAATAAGTAAATTCATGAATTCACTTGCTGAGGTCTTACAAGTTTTTCTTTTAGAAGAATTTTACACTTGATCAAGAAGAGAAATAAGGAAATAACTAGTATTTACCTCCTAGAGTTAATGAACTGATCTTTAAGTATCACTGTATACTTCTTAAAATGTAAACATATTTACATTTGTTATTGAGCCATTAAGTTAGGTCTGAAATTAACAGACCACAGACCACGGCAAGTAAACAAGTAGCTCTTGGAATCAAAATATAAACAGAAGAATAATTCATGGATTTGCTTCTTATTCTATTCTGCTGAGACAAAATTTCAGTTTGTGCACACATACGTATTCCCGACACAACAAAATCTATCTTCCTGTAGGCCTAAATTATAGTTAGGACTTCTAAAATGATAGTAACATCTGGCCACATGCAACTTTTCAATCCTTTGTAATGTGAGACGGTAAGAATTAGTGTTTGAGTTTTAGTTTCATTTTCCCTTTCAAAAATATCCCAATTAAGATGAAGTGTGTGTAAAATTAAGTACTGTCAAGTTTCAATTCAAAGTCATTTAAAGTAACGTAACCGTATTTGGTATTTTCAACAGGAATATTAGTTATTGTGCAAACTGCCTGGAACTGAAGCACTCTGTCCTTATCTACTTTGTCCCTTTCTGGCACTAACATGTAAAGTGCCCCATCTCCTGATTCTGAGCAAACTGCACAAAGAATATAATCTACCGGTAATTTTAAGATAAACACACTCAGCTCAAAAAAACAAAAAACAAACCCCATCAATATGGTCTGGCTGAGCTTTCCATCTGTAGTCATTAACCCTTCACTGAACCAAAATGAGAAATTAACTTAGTAGTGAAAAGAGTAATAGCTGAAGGAGTGAAGGGAGAAAGGAAGGCTGACCAGGCCAGAACAACAGACATATCAAGGAAACTTCAAGTCCCAAACATGCAAGTATATGAGCAGTGAGATAATGCATCTCCTAGTTTGATCTAGTAAGTCCTGCCTGAGACATGAAGAGCAAATCATATTAAGTTTGAGCGAAGTGTACTTCAAAACCACACACACAAGCTACAAGAAGCAAGTCAAACAAGGGTACGTCACGGGCAACCTGGGCTTACAGCATCACTTCTGTTTGTTTAAATGCCCTAAATGCACCCACTCACGTCAAATCATTCCCAATCATTTTTAAAAGCACCTCACTCAAAGCGCTCAAGTATAGACACAGAGAAGTAATAAATAGCTAAAGAATTTGATTACCACTTCATTCATATATGAGAAAATAGTTTTTTTCCCAAGGGGAAAAAAAAGGCTCCCAAGTGGAAACAAAATTTTAAAAGCTAGTTTTTTAAACAAGTATTTTCCCCTGCTCTATACTGTTCCTACATATCCTACCACCACACCATTCTGGAACATTCACTACATTAACAGGTAGGTAAAACAAGGTAGGAGACAAAGCTTTCATCAGTAGTTAAGCAAAAGTGCTGGGGCCACTTACAATAGAAAGATTCAGTATTTTAGAACAGGTTACTGTGTCAGAACATATCCAAGTTTCAAGAGTAGGGCTGGAGCTCTCTTAAGGCAATCTTCTAGAAAAGATGTTACATCTTCTGTGATGATGGACTTAAAAATGAAAATGTTGAAGGTTTCATTTTGCTATACTTAACTCTGTGTGATCCTAATGATTCCTGGGCTCACAAAATTACTTTAGGAACAGAGAATTCTACTCTCAAACTCATTCTTTATATGGTTTCACAAGCTGCTTAACAAAGCAGGTTATGTCAGCTGAGTGATATAACTCACTTAAATGTTGCACCCCCATTTGACCTCAACTCAAAGCACCTAGAAAGTAATAAATCTATTACGCACCTTTGTTATTTGTTAGTTTTTGGAATCACCTAAACCTATCACATTTTAATTCTCACCCTGTTTGAATAGCAAAGCAAATGATTAATGGTTAAGCTTTTCCCACAGCTCACGTGCTTAATTTCACCATTGCAGCAGGGCTTTCAGCTTTAGTGGTCGAGTTTCAGCTTGAACACAAGAATACTCCTCCTGACCTCTCTCTGTCTGGGAGACAGAGATGCTAGTATTTTTCATATTCCTTACGTACTCTTGTTGGGGAGTCCCAGTTGGGACATCACTTTCCTACCTCTTAAAGTTTTTGCTTCAGTCTGTTAGGGTAATGCTTGCTCCACGGAATAATGACACAGAAGAAAAACAAAAGATTCTATCTTCACCACAATAATATAAATGATATACAATGAACATACTGTGTGAAGGATTCTTTTGAAAGAAAACACAAAGTGTACAATGAATATCAAATGTGGCAACACAGCACATTCCAAAGCACCAAAAATCCATTTCTTGGGACTGCATGTAAACAGCAAAAGCATTACAAATCCAGGAAATATTTTTTTTTTAATAAAAGCTCCTCAAGTCAGATGGCAGAAATGCCCCTCCTTTGCCAGATGGACAAACTGTCATTAGTGTAACATGGAGAGCTGGCTTTCCAGTGAATTTTACTAAAAAGAAACACATGAAAGATTACAGACTTGAGTGAAATTACTCAAGGAACGTAAAAGCTAAATGCCAAATGATATGTATATCTTCATACATTTCTCAGGTGAATGGACTCTTTGACAACGTTTCTTTTCCAAACTGCTGTGCTATTAATTTTGGGCAGGCATACTCTGGTGGCCTATTCTATCTCTTTAAGGCTCCATTCATTCCACAAATATGTGTGTGTATGTACATATATATATATATATTTACAACATGTATTCCTAAGACAAAAGGAAGTGCCATTCTTGTAGGAGGAAAAAACGGATAATCAGCTACAGATGTGAGACCAGTTTCCATAAAACAATTAATATGGAGCGTTCCGCATAATTGCAGTTTTCGTCTTTTGGTTTGGCCCTGAGCTGTTTGTTGCTCCCGCATCAAGTAGAGTTGCAAATTCTTCTCAGGCAGAGGAAAGAGAAGTGGGTGGCAGTAAGAGAGAATACGCAGTGCACACTGCCAACCCAGGGGTTTGTTCCTCATGAAACCTGACGAGTGGTCTTCCCCACTTCCAGGTTAAGTGCCTGAGAGTTCTTTTCTGTTTCCAGCAGCTCATCAAATATCTCCCTTAAAATAAAAAAAAAATTAAACAGGAAATTCAGTGAGCAAATAAAAGGACAGAAAATAGACATTGATAAAGCCTGCATTATCCCATTTGATGCCTAAATTGTATTAAATAAGCAGCTCATTCATTATCATCTTAACCCCATGTGCTGATTCTTGAAAATAATTAGAGGGGGAATGGCAACAGCTAGCTTTGATAGAAAGGCTATGTATTTCCCATCCATGTAACTCAGATCTTCTAGCTGATATAATGAAAGACAATAACAGGACAGCTTCCATCATAATAAGGTCTTAAGCTCTGTATCTACATTTTACTGTGAGATGAGTAACTAATGCTGAGTTAAGAGAAAAAACATTTTGGAAATATCAAGATATGAGCCCTAATAAAAATAATAAATTGTCAACCAATTTAACTGATGGGTACAATTTATCTTTAAAGGAAAAAGAAAAGAGTTCAGGAGATTTTTAGCCAACTGGGCAACGCTTCTTACTTGTGCATATAAAAGAAGATGTAGCCACTCCGATCTCGATCGCTCTGCACAGAAGCCTCTTGGATTTTAGATACCTCTAGGTCATTATATGTAAACCATGCCTGCTTCTTAATGTCGTACACATCACTAATGTAGTGACCTGAAAGAAATAAAAATTAAATTTTTTAAAAATAAAATACCGAATTTTTCTCAGGTACAGGAAATGTCAGAAACAGTCAACCCCATTTCACCTTACTTCCAACATTTCTAAAACCCATTTAAAAACTACAAAAATTTAAGGGGGGAATACTGGAGAAGGAAATAGCAACCCATTCCAGTATTTTTTCCTGGAGAATCCTATGGACAGAGGTCTGACGGGCTACAGTCCACGGGGTTGCAAAGAGTAGGACACGACTGAGCGACTAAACAGCAAAGGGTGAATATGCTATGCCAGGACAACTTTTTTGATACATGTATTTTGCTTAGGGAAATCTGGGTCATTTGTGAATAGAAAAATCAGAACAGCTGCACCTATTAACACACACAGTGTGATAAAAGAAAAGATTTCAAAGTTTTTCTTTTTTCTCCCAAGATTCATTTATTGAGCACCTCCTGCAAGTGACACACCTTTGCTCTGGTGCCTCATGGCACCCCAGGATGACCCTGGGCTGGGGTCACTTATGTGGACTTGGGCCCAATCTCATAGCTGGCATTCTTTCCTCCTCAGCAGTCTGCCTCTTGGCTAAGGCTCTGAAAAGGGGCCCCCAGGGTTCAAAGTTTTCCGTGATGTATTCAACTCACACCTCACAAAGCTAGGCTCAGAGCAACTCAATAAGGAGTAAATGCTGACTGGTCCATTTATAAAATGCTGAAATCCTAATGTCCATTTACCTGAAGAAGACGTGCTACCAATGTGACTGACAACACTGATGAGCCGATAGGAATGAGGAAGATTTCCTGTCTGGAAAACAGAAGTGGGCATGACTTTTAACTTTTAATTTGTATAAAAGCAAAACACTAAATTTATTATCAGAGCTGACATGGGGAAGTTTCAATGTGTGGGGGGTTAGACTCAATAAAAAACTCAGTGGTTGGTACTGTTCATGTCCTTTGACCCAAGAATTCTACTCCCAACTAAGAATTTATTCTAAGAAAATAATTCAAAAGAAGAAAATGTATATATGTATAAAACTATTCACTGTAGTATTATCTTTAATAATGAATAGTTGGAACTAAAAATACATCCAGTAATAGTTAAAGGTTACAGGTATTTCAACTCAGTTCAATATTATTCAGTTATTTAAGGGGCGGGGGGAACCATGGTTCTGCAAAATGTTAATTTGTTTTTAAAACCTACACGAGCACACACAATATAACTATAGATCTATATGAAAAGATAATGTTAATGGTTAAGTACTAAAAAACAGAATGAAAATAATGAAAAGAGTTGCTATATTGATGTAGGGATTATGGATGAACTTTTACATTTTAAATATTTTAAGGAAAAGAAAACTGAAAAGTGATATTCATGCACTTCAGGCATTACTAAAGAACATAATTTTGGGAAGAAATTGGGAAGAAATATAGCTATAGGTAAGCCAGAAACAATTAAAATGTTCAAATACTTTGATGCAGTAATTTATTTCTGAGGATTTCCTTAAAGAAGAAAATCCTAAATATAGAAACATTATAATCATACACAGTTCCTTGATATTATAATGAAAAAGAAAATTTAAATGCTCAATGTTAGCTAAAAATTAAATAAAATAAACAGTAGTTAGAAAAGTGGGATCTGGGTAATTAAAATTATAAAAAAAAAATTGGAAAATGGGAAAAAAGCAATTATTTAGGGCAAAAAAGGGTTAAAAAAGATTCCAAGTGCTCTAGTTAAATGTTAATAATTCAACAGTTTTCACTGAGTAACAATCAACTAATTTTAGTATTTAACCTTAAAGATAAAATAGTTTTGGTAAAATTGAAGGTGATTTAACATATATGTAACTTTGAGAGCTATTACTAGTTATTACCTAACATGTACATAAGGCTGTCAAGGATGTATTTCTGTTTTTCTCTTTCATTTTGTTTTGAATATTCTGTGTAAGTAATGAGAAGTAAAGCTCAAGAGAAAGCGAGGGCCTTTGACGGTTGCCAAAGGGGCAGAAATGAAGCTGCAATGGACAATGACCATGTCCTTTGAAGATAAGGAGCAAGAGGAGGAGTACTGACAACATGACCAGTTGTTTTACAAAAGGAATATAATGTCACCCACCTCAGCATTTCTTTTCAGTTCCTCAGTTTCAGCTTCTGTGTACTCCATATCTAAAACATCTTCATTTCCAGAGTCCTCATCAGAGCCCAATGAATCCAGAAAAGAGCTGTTAAACTCTGAAGAACACAAAGACAAAGTCTTGTAAAAGCTCTCAGAATAGACACAAAGAGACACAGTTGGGAAGATGAAAAACAGCTGGAAGTACACATTTTATCATCCTAAGAAACAAAAGACATATTATTATTAGGGTTTCAACTCACCCAGCCTACTCTATGGACCAGTTATCTGTAAAAGAAATGTTCCCCTTTGTTTTAAACATATGTATATCAAAGGGGATAATACTCTTAAGAAAGGAATGAAACTGAAAGAGAGAGTATAATTTGTTAGACATATAAATTATTTGTCTAGAATATAATTTGTTCTAACATATAATAAAAAATATATGTTAGATAATTCAGTTTCACTGAATACCCGTAAGTATATGTTAGATTTGACACATGTGGTGCATATTATAGGTGCCACCAGCAAACATAAAGTATCTCATAGAAAAGAGACCATAAAAAAATCAATATCCTTTCATTTTCTTCAATATTAAATCATACTTTGGAACTGAACAAAAATAATGGAAATTCAAAATTTAACTAAGTTTTACCTAAAATACACTAAATAGATAAATAAATCCAAGATCCATTTTTTTTCCCCTCCTTAATGATGTGCTTCCACTGGAAGAATCCATCTTTACTCAATGGCTTCAAATAAAAAATCCCAGGAGCGTTTGTACAGAAACGAAGCCTTGTTTTATGCTTGTTTAAAAGTTACAAACACTTAAAAATGGGAAGAACAGGAAGAGATTATAGCATCAAAATTCTGGAAGCTGGAATATACAGGGGTGACAAGACTTAGCAGACCTAAGATAGTCAAAGCCAAAACCTAAGTTGGTATTGGAAAAGTTGAGAATCAATCCAATTTATATCACAGGGTCTTCAAAAGATACAACTTGGAAATACCAGGTACCTCTGAAATTGGAGGCTAAGAATAGGATAAAAATAAGGATTAGGGAAAAGCTGTTTGAGTTACAGACTCTTAGAGCCACTCTCTGCTACTTTATGCTGCTGGGCAATGACAGAAGTCTGGAGCTTTGCTCTCTGGAGAGCTGGTAAAACAGTCTCTGCATTGGGGGATTCCAGGCACAAAGGACTACCATAGTGAAAATGGGAGGAGACCACAGTGTACATATTCAAAGATGTGAGTAACTTCCACCCTGACCCCCAGCAGGCCCTATTCCTATACTTGGCTTCCAGAACTCTGGCAGCCACATCTTTTTATCTTTAGGCAAAGGCATAAAACTAGAACACTTTTCTTTAGGAATCTTACCAGCCCAAGGGGAGGCCTAAAATATTAATACCATCCCCTAAATAGTAAAATCCTATAAAACTCAAAGTTGACAAGCTCTAGCTATTCATATACTCAGAGCTTCCAATAATCTTTTTAGTCCCCTACTCTTTTTTTTTTTAAATAAAAAAGTTATTTATTTATTTTTTGGCTGTGCTGAGTCTTCACTGCTGTGCGTGGGCTTTCTCTAGTTGCGGTGAGCTGAGGCTACTCTTTGTTGTGGTGCATGGGCTTCTCATTGCAGTGGCTTCTCTTGTTCACGGCTCTCAGGCTATAGTGTGGACTCAGTAGGTGCGGCGCACAGGCTTAGTTGCTCCATAGCAAGTGGGATGTCCCTGGACCTGGGATTGAACCTGTGTCCCCTGTATTGGCAGGCAGATTCTTAACCACTGGACCACCAGGAAGTCTTTAGTCCCCTACTCTTAATCATGAATTGACAGCCAAGGATTACCAGATACTGAGGATTACTAGATAACTGAGGAAAGGCTCTAACACGGAATATAAAGACCAAAACAACACACAAGACAGAGCAAAATGGAGAAAAGAGAATCTACTCAGGGAGATGAAAATGTCAAATACACACAAAAAATGAAGTATGTTTAATATTCTCAGAGTTGAGATGGTATTGCTTTCATGAACTACCCCACCCCAAAATTTTATGAAAAGTAGCAATCACAAACCAGTTCTTGCAAATTAGAAATAGACATAAAATACTAAAAAAAGTTTGAAGTTGGTGATAATATTGGAGAAACTTTTCAGACAGTAAAGAAAAATAAAAAAAAAAGAGAGAAAAACTGAAGAGATGAGAAAATTATGTTTGAGTGTTTGGTTTCCTCTGGGAGGGAGGGTAGGGAAGGGATATACAAGTAACTTCTAAGGTTCTATTTCTTTACCTGGGAGGTGTTCAAATTTGTTATTGTTATTAAAAATGACAAAAACATTTTATATACTCCTCTGTGTGTGATACATTTCATCATACAAAAAAATGTAATTAAAGTAATCTCCATACCTTGAAGACTTAACTCCGTAGCTCTTTTGAGGTCATCATCTTCTTTCTGTTCCCAAGCCTCCTAAAGGAACAAGGACAAAACTAAAGTATTTAAAGAAGTATTGATTAAACTTACTTAATAAGGATAAAACCAGTTGCTCGGAACGTATTTGCTAATAATGCTTTCTATAAATGTATGAATGTTTCGAATATGACCTCTTGAGAGAGATGGAGTTCTTTACTTTTTCCAAAACTGTCTTCCTACTATGGCCAGTTTTAAGCTACCAATGTAACTCTGACTGCAGATTTGGGAACAGCTATGTACAATGGGTTCTCCTAAGCTGACAGGGAGCTGGCTCTACCACATCACTGAGCCTACATCTATGACAACAAGATAAAACAAAATTTCCACAAAATACTATTCAGAGATTTCTATGCTTTTCTAATATATCTGAGGTTTTCTTTATGATAGTGTTTTTTGTTTGTTTTGGCCATGACCCACAGCATGTGGGATCTTAGTTTTCCAAACAGGGATTGAACCTGCACCCCCCTGCCTTGGAAGCAGAGAGTCTTAACCACTAGACCGTCAAGGAAGTCCCTGAGGTTTTCTTTAAAGAGAAAAAAAAAGTACCTCTGAAAATGTCTCAACTAGATGACTAATTATAAAAAGGAATAGGAAAATGTTGACTACAAATTTTCCCTTTCATCTTGAGAGAAAAGATAATTTACAAAGGATGCATGAGTAATGAAAAAAATATAAAACTGTTTTTATACTTTTCTCAATTCTAGACTTGTTTTTAGAGTTAATATATAAGAAGCTTAGAATGAACTATTCTGCATTATAGTCCTGGGAACAATAATACTGTGTTCAAGAAAGTCACAGAGGTGTTCTCTAAGAGGAAACATGATTACTTAAATTTATCCAAGTATATAAAGTTTACATTGAGACAAGATGGTAAAGGATTCTCTCAGTAATTCATAGAACGAGGCAGGGCTTCCCTGGTGGCTCAGCAGTAAAGAATCTGCCTGCCAACACAGGAGACATAGGTTCAACCTCTGGGTTGGGACGATCTCCTGGAGAAGGAAATGGCAACCCATTCCAGGGTTTTAGCCTGGGAAATCCCATGGACAGAGGAGCCTGGGGAGCTACAGTCCAGGGGTCACAAAAAGTTGTGTCCACAACTTAGCGACTAAATAAGAAGGTGTGCCAAACTAAAGAAACCTTCATCTCATAATCCTCACATCTGAGAAAAATAAGACAATTTTAACCAGGTCAGCTGACAAGAAAAATAAGTCTTTGTCTGTGAAAAGGAGGGTTGTTGAAATTTTTTTTTTCCCCTTCTTTTCTCTGGATTTTTTTCTTTTTCTGCAAAGGGCAACCCACTCCAGTATCCTTGTCTGGGGAATCCTATGGACAGAGGAGCCTGGGGGGCTACTGTCCACAGGGTTGCAGAGTTGGGCATGCCTGAGCACGCCTGAACTATTGCTAAGAAATAAAACTTATTTTCCACTGAAAGTAAGTTTTTCTGAAACAAATGATTACTATAAATAATTTGTAAAACAGTTTGACATATATATATTTTTGATGACAAGGCAACTAGGGAGGTACTTTTTATAAATAAAAGGATACAGAACAGCTGGTTCTGAAACAGTTTTAAAGCAGCAGGTCTCAACACTGCCTGCACATTAGAATCATTGGTGGAAGTTTAGGAGAAAAAAAAAGAAGAAAGAAATCCAGTCACCCAGACCAGATCTGAGATCAATTATATCAGAATTTCTGAGGGGCAGAACCATCTGGGCATCAGTACTCTTTTTAAAGCTCCCCAGATAAAATGCAGTTAAAATTATGACCCGATATTCTTTGCCTTAAAATATCAATGATAAAATCATGATTGCATATTGGCTGTTTTAACTGCTTACAAAATAAATCTGGACTAGGGATGATCTCCAATAATCCATCTTGCTTTAGATGCAACAAATCATGGGGACAGGAGGTAACCAACAAGACATTTTGTTGCACTTGTATTAAAAAAAAAAAAAATCAATATTTGTTTCAAACCTAAGGAAAAGGCCCAAAGCAAGTTTAGTTTGTTTAGGTGGCTCAACAATTTACTGTACATAAATCATGTGGAACAATGCCTGACCCAAAGTGCTTAACAAATGTTTTTTACTATTATTATTGCTCTATCTCTTGGAAAAGACAGATATGGAGATATCTCTTACTTGCTCCTGGAGGCTCTGAGCCAATGCCTGCTGAAGCTCCTGTTCCTCCCTCTCACGCTCCATATCATACTGCTGGAGCCAATCAACCTCTCCTTGAGATCCTTCCGGAGTTTTGTTCTCTTTATTTTCATCACAGTCTTTAGTTATCTCAGTAAAACTGGCAGGATCTGAGGAAGCAGAACAGAACATCACTGGGAAATCCTCTTATAAACTGAAATCTCCGCACTATAGTGACATGTACTATTCAAAGAGTAATGTATCTTAACTCCAGACATAACTTGATTGGGACATAAAATCTCCCCTTGCTACATCTAGATCAGGGTTTCCCTATCTCAGCACTATTGGCACTTTGGGTGGGATTTTTGTTTGGATGGGGGAGATGACTGCCCTGTGTACTGTATAATATTTTGCAATATCCTTGACCTCTACCTACCAGATCCCAGTAGCAACCCCACCCTCCCCAGCTGTGACAACCAGAAGTGACACTGTTAAATGTCCCCTGGAGAACAAAACTGCCCTCAGTTGAGAACCACTGGCCTACAGTAATGGTTCTGAAACTTGACCAATCATTAGAAGCACCGTGGTTAAGGATGGAGACAAAAAAATAGCCATATTCATAGGTTATGTCACATGACCAATTACTAGGAATAAAGTATTGTTTAGGGTAAATAAAGTAAGAATTAGGACAGAAATGATTAGGCCAATTATTGAGATTTTCCGTTACTACATTGTATATCATGAGTGTTTTTACATTAACAATCAAATGAGCCTTGTGCATAGTCTAAATAGAAGAGCTATGTAAAATATGTAATAAACATTTCATGTACCATACAAGTATATGACAACATATTATGTTTAAAACATTCAACCAGGGAGAGAAGAAAAAAATTAAACCTTGATTTTTTTCTGTTCATTCTCAGTTTCTAGATTAGAGCCTCCTAGTGCTAATGCCACTGCTTCATACGTCCAAACAATGAAGCATGATGTTCCCACCATTCAGTCAGTGCTAGTTCTGAGTTCTAGTAGCAGATCTCCTTACACTTACATGGACTGGAGGACAGCCCAGTGGAGCACCCATTCATCACTACTGGACAATTAGCATCTATTATATATTTTCTCCTTATTCTAGTGTTAGCCAGAATAAACAGTATAGGTATAATTTTATTCTGGTTACCTGAAATTTCATTGTAATTTTTAATACAGGTAAGAGTGGGGAGAAAAGCAAGGCAGCTCCTTCCCTTCTAACATTTTACCAGAGCAAAAACTTTCACCTTAACAAGTTAAGGAAGTTCTCATAAAAAAAAGTTTAGCCAGTCAGTAAGAATTTTGACTTTACAGGATTATTTCATATGGACTTAAAATTAGTGTGTACTCTTTACCTGCCCCAATACTTCATTGGAACCACTGAAATGGTAGATACTTTTCCATAATACAGACAATTCTGAAGCTTACAGCATCTTTGTTTTAGACTCAATCAGCAACTAGTCATTTTTTAATTGAACTGAATTACTGACTGAAATGGAGAAGGAAATGGCAACCCACTCCAGCATTCTGGCCTAGAGAATCCTGTGGACAGAGGAGCCTGGTGGGCTGCTATCCATAGGGTTGCACAGTCGGACACGACTGCAGCGACTCAGCATGCATGCATGCATTGGAGAAAGAAATGGCAACCCACTCCAGTGTTCTTGCCTGGAGAATCCCAGGGACAGAGGAGCCTGGTGGGCTGCCGTCTGTGGGGTCGCACAGAGTCGCACATGACTGAAATGACTTAGCAGCAGCAGCAGCTGAATGAATATTTACCATTAAAACTAATTCTGAATATTCATTAAAAGAAACTCAGGATATATTAGGTGCAAAAAGCAGTATGATTACAATTAAAAAATTTTTTTTACTCCTCCATTTTGGAGAAACAATCATTTCCAAAGCCTGGAAGGGGTGGCTCTGAAGCATATAAGATCCTGCCTGTCCCTTTGGCCTTAGCTTACTGGATCAGGAATGAATATCTGAGAGAGTTAATCAATTAGACCACTTCTGGAAATGTGGAACTGAGACGTTCAAAGGTAGTTGATGTTAAGCATTTCAAGTGGAAAAAGATTGGGAGTTGAGGCTGCTATTTTAGGAAATAAGATGAACATTATTACTTTTATTCAAAACATACTCATAAAAAAAGGTGACAGAGGCACAATTCTTACTTAACCAATAATTTTCAGCACTCAATGTACCAATATATCTTACACAATCCTAGAATTACACTAGCAATTAATGCATGTGATAGCAAACAGATGTAAGAAACTCTGAGATGCTAAAAAGCTCAATATACATCTGTCTTCAGAACAAGATTATCAGACGGATACAAAAAACACTTCAGATCTAGGAACAAGTAAGACCATGAAATAAAAAACACACTTTAAAGGAACTGGCACAATGGATCAGAGGGGGTCCATGTGATAAAAACATTCTTATACTAAGTAGATCATCTGCTGCTTCTCCCATCCCAAATGAAAGCTGCTGCTTTCATTGTAAGTGTAAGTGTCCACCCAGTGTTTTTTGTTTTTTTTTTTTGAAGACAGAAATCTGGGAGTCATTCTGATTTCTCATTTACCTGCTCATATTAGATACATTGCTATTTCCCATCTCTCTCTTGAATCCATCAACTGTCCCCGCCCCCCCCCAATGCCAAATGTTAACCAAATGTTAACTTTTGGTTTGGGCTACTGTAATAACTTTCTAACAGTTCTCACAGGGTACTTTGGTTCTTCTTTAAATTATGCACTACATTGCAGTGAATTATCTTTTTCAAATACAAATCTTTATCAAATACCTTTTGCTTAAAATTATTCAATAACTTCCTAATGGTTTTGAAATCAAAGTCCCAACTTCTAAACATGATTTTAGGCCAGGTAAAAACTGGAGACTGTGTAATAACTCTCTAGTCTCAGTTTTGCTTCCCCCCCCCCCCTCCCCACACACTATGTTCTAGTCATGCAGATCATTCTGAACTTTTAAGGTTCACTAACTTACCATGGCCTTCCTCACATCCGGACCTTTGCACACACACTCTTCCCCCCGTCTTTGGTTAACAGTGAAATCTTACTTAACCAGTCTTTCTTTCCCTCTTTAGTTGATTCAAGAGATGAGCTCCAAATATTTACTGAGAATCAAGCTAAGTGCCACATACTGCTGAAGAAGCTGAGGATACAGTGATAATTAAGGCAAGACAACACTTGCCCTGAAGGAGCTTAAGTGCAAAGGCTTGGAGATGAAAACGAGCCTAGCGTGAGGGACACAGGGAGAAAATATCAGTATGGCTAAAGCAGCAGAGTGAAAGAGGGGCTAGGTGAAGACGTCATAGTGAGAAGCCTGGATTAAGTGTAATGGGAAATCACAGTAAGTTCTAGGCAGAAGGGTAATGTATGATTTATGCTTCAGAAAGATTACGCTGGCAGCTTTGTTCATGAAAGAAGGTCTGCAGTGGGGTGAGAGTGAAGGAAGAGACATTAGGAATCAACTGTAGTGGCCCAAGTGAAAGCTGGAAGACTATAACAGTTATAGTTATGAAGATGTTGATAAGTGACTGGATTCAGGATATATTTTGGAGGTAGAGTAGACTAGACCTATTGACGGACTGAATATGAGGTGTAAACAAACAAACAAACAAACAAATCAAGTGAGATATAGTTTTGGCTTGAACCAAAAAACGGTGGATGGTGATACCACTTGCTGATATGGTGCAAGGTTACCGGGGTGGGGGGTGGCAGCTAAAAATCAGCCACCAAATGGACATTTCAAGCAGGCATTTAAATATGTAAGTTTAAAGCTTAGGGGAGAGATCCAGGCAAGGATATGAATTTGATAGACCATCAGTATGTGAGGTTATGGGAACACATGAGATCCCTTAGAGACAGCGCTTTAGAAAAAAAGACAGCTAAGGATAGTGTTCTGGGAATATTCCAACAGTTACAGTTCTGATGAGGAAAGCAAAATCAAAACCAAAAAACCCTAGGATGAATGGTTGGTTTAGCAGGAAGAAAAAACCAGGCAAGACTAGTTTATAGAAAAAAGTTTATAGAGCTTTAAATGTTAAGGAGGGAGTGGTAGATTTTATGAAATATCGCTATTGTAAACTTGATAAAGATCATTTTAGTGGAGTCGTGGGGGTAAAAGCCCACTTTGAGAGTGCAGACAAGAGGATGGGAGATGATAAGGAAAAAGAGAGAATGAGTAAAACGACTCTTTTAAAGGATTTTTCTGGGAGGGGAGCAAACAAAAGAGGCAACAGCTATAGGGAAACACAAGGTAATAATAAGGTTCTTTAAAATGGGTAATATTTAGAAAACAACAGAGTGATTTAGAAAAGATGTATAAGAGAAACAGTATAATGTCAAGACAGTCTTTAAAAGATGTAGATGAGATTCTGGATATGAATGAATGAAGGGACTGGCCTTAAATAAGAACAAGGACATTTCCTCCATAATAAAGGTGAAGGCACAGCTTTCATCTGATTGCATCTAGTTCCTCTGAAAGATCTACAGCTAAGTTGTGAGCCCAGATTATATGTGGAAGGAGAAATATAGATTTAAGACATTATGGAGACCAAGAAAAGAATACTAAGGAACTATAGAAATGACAAGCAGAATTTAGTGCCCATGTTACAATGTGGCTGTGAATTTGAGGAAAGTATAGTCATCACAGGTCTGTGAATTTTCTCCAGCAATCTTTAGCTGCTTGGGTGAAGGTATGGAGTAAAAAGCTGGTTGAGCTGGGAAATGGGATTTCATTAGGCAACAAAGGAACAGAGGACAGAGAGAAGAGACTCAAAATATGCCATATATGCTGGGGAGGCACGTGATTAACAAGAGGGAGGTGAGGAAGAGCCAAAAATAGAAGACAACAGACTGGAAGTCTTAATGAGATCAAGTAATTGTTGAAATAAATTTTTGTTGTTCAGTCACTCATCCGTGTCCTTTGTGACACGACTTAGACCTCTTTGTGACCTCATGGACTGCAGCACGCCAGGCTTCCCTGCCCTTTACCATCTCCCCGAGTCTGCTCAAACTCATGTCCATTGAGTCAGTGATGCCATCCAACCATCTCATCCTCTGTCGTCCCCTTCTCCTCCTGCCTTCAATCTTCCCCAGCATCAGGGTCTTTTCAAATGAGCCAGCTC